ATCCATCCATCCATCCCTGTGGCGCTACAGCCCATGTAGGGCTTTGGCCTGCCTCACTACTTCCTTCCACTCAGACCTAACTAATGCCTTTCTTTTCCATGCTTGGACTTTCAGCTGCTGTAGATCTTTTTCTACATCATCTATCCACCTAACATAACATTAGTAATAGTGGTTCATATTTTTTTTGGAAGGCTATAATTATAATAATGTTTAAGATTAATAATGATATGTAATATTGTTAGTGTTAGGGCTAATTGTTTTAAAAAATTATTTTCAGCTCCCATATGGCTAAAGTAGATGTAATACAGCATTAATTGTGTCGTTTTCATGATCAATTGTCAAGATAACTTCAGTTTCAGAAAATGAGCAACTCTTTTCTTAGTGGTTATGAATTTGGTAAGCAAAACACTTATAATCGACAAGAGACTGAGTTATCTGAGAAATTACTGTAATTATGTGTATGAATCTCTCTACTGTAATAATTATCTAAAAATATTGACTTGCATTTGCTAAATTAGCTTTGCTGGCTATTAAAGCCATTACTTGATCATAGATGTTAGAAATTTTAATTACTCTGATTCTGATAGTGATTAAAATAAGCACAGGCTATGGCCATTTATGAAAAACAAATAATCTCTCCTAAATGTTTTTTTTTAAAGGTATAGAAATGAATTTTAAAGTGAACAAGATTCTATAAAACATTATAAAGCATATTATTTATTAGCAGTTGAACTTTGGGATCTCACATATTGGGGAGAGTGGGGTGTCACGATTTTTTATGAGGGTATCTAAATTTGTTTACAAATTAATGACAATTTGGGGGGGAGTGGGGGTGTTGGTATGTGTAAATCTTTGGCCAAAATAGTGCTATGTCATTTAAGGGTGACCTTTTCCATCTCAGCCCAAAATTTGAATAACTATTTCTATTTTAATATCTTCAACTTCACAAAAATGAATGAAAAATGGTTTATAATTTTATTTTGTTAATATACTTTTTCATTACGATAGTATTTATAGCTGCCTGAGAGCAAAATAAAATCTGGGGAAAAAAATAAAGATGTGGACAAGAAAGTTCTTTTGCATTCTAAAATAAGATGTGCTAATAATGTTCTTCAGCATAGTAAAATAAGATGTGCAAAGAATGTTCTTCAACATACTAAAATAAGATGTATAAAGAATGTTCTTCAGCATTCTAAAATAAGGCGTTAGCTTGAAGGCAAGGATGAGCAAATTTATTATTTATTTGACCTCAAGACTCTACTGTTTTAAATTAAAATTGTGTATGTTTGTGACTTTGAAAGCTTTTATCTACAGATGAGATCATAAAAGGATGGGAGGCAAAGCAAAATAATAATGGAGTCATTTACTATGTGAAGTAGGTAACATTTTCCATATTACTATTGGTTTGTTAAATTTTTTTTTTAAAATTTGACCCTACTCTTTTCATTTTAGGTAATGTTTAATCCAATTCAAATGATATTAATACAACATGATAATAAGTGTTATATATTTATAGTAATGACCTTCAAATAACAAGCTGGATGCATCCGTATCTCAACAAAATCTTGGATTCAATTGGTAAGTACTGGATATCATTTAGCAGCTGCTGGTAATGGTTATTAAAATTTTATATAGTCGATAATTACTTTTTCCCCTATATAGCAAACAAGTATATAATTTTGTCTTTCTTTTAAATTCACTATGACTCACAGTCTTAGAAATTCTCTTATTACTCTACATTAATGACTCTATTAAAAAGGAATTTAGAAATTGAATGCCCTCCTTGCATGCTCCAGTTTATGTTATGATGTCTTGTCAGCAAATTAAGCTTTAATCTTTGATCGACTATGTATACAGTAACAGCTGTTAGAAAAAAAAAACAACAGATTTAAACAAAATCTTGAAAAAACCTTTCCAGCTCATTAAATTTTTGTTTAAATATTTATATAAAAAAAATATTGTACCAAGTATTTATTTTCACAGAAGAGAAGTACAGCCTTGTAAAGTATGCTGCTTATCGTACATCTTTAAAATTGAGAGCCATACAATCCCAAACTGGAAGTAAGAAATTCACATTTTAAAAAACATGATTTGGAGATACTTTGTAAAGAATATATTTAATTATTTTTTGGGCTAATACTTAGTAAATTAGATTATGGCTATACAAAGCCTACTTGTGCACCATAATGTATATTTCTTGCTTTCTATTTATATAATCATAACAATTGGTTTAACAGTAATTTTAGCTGATGGGTTTTAATTTTTTTTTATGTTTTAAGTTGAATGGATGAATATAACAGCAATCAAGCAAGTTTTTACGATAGATGAAGAACAGGACAAAGAAGTGTCTTGCACACAGGCTCTGGATCTGATCAAGGAGATCTTAGTACTCTCTGACCATAATCACCAGCATGAAGCAGAAAGACTTGGAGCTGCAGAAGTTATTCTAAATCTTATGATGTGTCTATATGATAAGTTAGTAAAATATTATCTTTTTATTGTTCTACAAATGTATAGAATTTAACCCAAGAACTGTGGCATGCATTATTCTGTGATGTGGAGCTTTTCAGAGCGTTTTGAGTGCCATTTGAAATTGCATAACATGACATAGAAATATTGACACAATACCCCAATAAGTATATATTTTTAGAAAAGTAAATGGATGGCCGTATTGCCCACCCTGTAAAAAAATGTTTGCTCAGTGTCCTTGACCTTGGAGTTCTCAAGAAGAAAAAAAATTGACAAAATGTCTTGCTTTCAAGTGCTCATAACATCATTAATTTTTATAGATACACTTAAAACACAAATCTAAATGTTGTAGCCCATTCATTTATCTTTCAGAAAATGTATAGTTTGCTATGGTTTTGATTGCAATTAAACCTCTGAAAGCAATTTTAGTAATTTTAGGTCATTTATATAAGAAACTGGGGACCACTGCTAAAATCAAGTACAAAATACAAAATCTCACACAAAATAGTTATTATTGACTAGTAAATATTTAAAAATGAACTGTGGAATTGATTCGGGTTGTTTAACTATAAAATGTATTAGTTCTGAACTATAATCTGTGATTAAAATTCAGTCAGTCCTTGCCCAACCCCCGGGCCTGACTCGAAGTCTAACAGTAGCCTCAGTCGGCCTACTTCAGTATCACTAAGACTAGTATAAAGTTCACGAGAAGAATAATCTCAACTGATATCGTCATGGAGAATGTTAAAATCAACATCAGTATCACTTAAAACCTCGCCTTAAAAAGCTTTAAAAAATATTTCTATTAGTTCTTGCACTGAAGGCCCAGCCATAGCGTCAACCATTTTAGCTTTTAAAAAAATAGCAATATAAAACTCTGATTAAAAAGTATTTATTTTCAAGTTACCACGAAACAGCTTGAACCGGAAGAGGATTTAATTATTATAAAAGGAAGTGGCTGTAATTCCGATTAAATATTGGATTGGAAGTTGCTATCAGACCGTGTTTTTTATCGGCCGACGCCACAGTAAAGAACGAGAATTTCGGCCGACCACAGTTCGTGGGTTAAAGAAAAAGTTCCATAAAGCAAACTATGACTTTAGGTATATTTCTGTATTATTGAATTTAAAGAGTTGATGTACAATTTATGTGTTTTTGTTTTTTTTATCAGAAATCGGGCTGGAAAACTGGTGTTCAGATCCATTGGTAATGCCTTGACAGCACTATGTAAAGCCAAACTGAATGATAAATACAAATGTAAGCAACATTTTAAGGCTTGAGGAGGTTAAGAATTCTGACTCCTTATTTCTATTTTCCAGCTTGGCACCACCGGATTTATATTATTTCACACTACCAATGAAGTCTTTCAATACTTCTAAGGCCTTTTCAGTTTTCTTCAGCTCACTCCGAAGCTCACTTTCTTGTTTTCACCACTTTTTTTTCCTCATGAAAATTTAGAAATTTAAGTATCATTTATCCCCCCAAAAAGTTATTGTATGAAGGAAATGTTAAATGAAGATTTTATGAGATACAACCAAATAATTCAAATAAAGGTTAGTGAAATATAATTTTGTCAATAAAAAAAATGAAAATCATATTAAATTTTTATGTGTTTGTATGATATCGGTATCAGTTAGAAAAAACAAACATTTCCTGGCTGATTCTTTCTACCACCACCATTTTAATAAGCTCTAAAAATTTAAATATTGATTTTTAAAAGAAATTCCTACCTGTTTATGTAAAATTCTGTGAAATACCTATCCAGATTTCTTCACACATCTAAAAGATGAAGAGAATAAAGTCAGAAAAGAAAGTCTACTCTTTTTTATCAAGGGTCTTATTGAGGTGAATATTATGTGAATTATTTAAGGATTTTCCTTTTGCAAAATGTGCCAAATTCTTGTGGGTTATGAAAATGGTGTGTACAATTGAATGTGTCTTTAGTTCATTATGTGTGTTATGCATGCGACTCTTAATAAATGAAGGAGCGGTGAACTGGCTATTTAATTTTTTATTAGGTTTTGCAAAAATGTTGATCTTTTAGCCTCTTATAAGAAGTATACCGATAATTGAGTGATAGATTTGCATGTTATGTTTATTATTTATGTGCTTGTAAGGACCAAATCACAGGTTTTTTTTCACAAGTTTTTTTTAAAGTATTTGCAATTTAAATAATATTAAAATGTATATTTTACGCACATGTCAGATCACAGGTATAATAAAAGAAAGTTTGGCTTTTGGAACCAGTGCTATGGCGGCTGTTGACAGCTGTTTGAAATCGGTAAATTAAATAATGTATTAACACCTGTGACAGCTGTTTGTTAATAAAGCTAATTGTTAAATTTATACAATATTTTGTGGTTTTGACAGTTATATATAATATGCTTTGCACAATTTGGTTTAAAAATTTAGCCATGCTAATATATACTGGGCTTAAGAGTTCAACAAATTTTGGCCTGTCAGAAACGTAAACAAAAATGTGTCCAAACATAAGATAATACTTTGTAAAGTGTGGAAAGCAATTGAATTTGAAATCAATTAAGTATATTTTTTCTGAAATAGAATACTAATCCATTGTTAGATCCATGTTAGTGTCAACTCATAAGCCCAGGTTAAAATAGTTTTGTTTTCTGGACTTGTTACTTACTAGTAATTAGTTGATAGAATATTGTTTTTCTAAGGCTTGTACACCTGAAAGTGATTGGGTGAGTGAGGAAGACTTTTACTCTTGGTTACTGCAAGAACCTCAGACATTTGTATGGTTGCCAACATTGCATCGTGTCCAGGCTACAGAAATTGGTAGGCCAGTTTTCAACATTTTTCACTGTAAATCATATCCCTAAAAGGTTTTCGCTGGACAAAAGTTATCTAAATAATCTGCCTCTCTTATACATAATAGGTCACAGACTTATGTTTTCTGATTTACACATTGTTCACCATCAACTTGCATTTTTTTAATATATATATTTTGTTGTTGTTGAAAAGTATACAAGACTTAATTTGGTCAAATCACTCTTTAGTTAGAACCCTTTCATCTACTGTAATAGTGAATATGTGAACAATTTATCAGGTAAGAACTGAGTTGTAGGGTTTTGCCAATTTTCTTTTAAAAAATAATAATTTCTTTTAAAAGAACAAGAAACAATATTTAATTTATTTTCAAATAAAAACAAAATAACTTTACTTTTTAAAACACCAGTTGTTCACGATGTCCGCTGCTTTGTCTGCCAGGTCATGCCAATAATTGGATTTAGGTAAATGGACACAAAATTGATATCACTTTGCTTTTCAGGCAATCTAATATTGCCTAGCATTATCGCAGTTTAAGAATAAAATGCATTCAATCAACTATAATTAATATATCTATTGTATTTAAGTCAAAAGATAAGAAAGATTACTGTAAATTTTTGTAGTAGGTTATTTAGCTTTTACAAAGAAAAATTAGCCAAAAGCGTCTCATTTAGCTACTATTTCAATATTTATCAAATGTATTTACAGATATAGATGTTTGCAGTGTTTAAATTATAACTTATGTCAGAACTGTTTTCTGCATGGTCTTACGTCAGTCCAGCACAAGCTAAAACATCCTATGAAGGAATATTGCTTTCCAGTTAGTGTTTTTCCATTTTTTTTCTTCCTTTTTTTTTTTTAAACAGGGGGGGGGGGGGGCTGTTTTTTACATCTTATCTTTGCCCTTTTTATTTTTTTTTAGATGTTTAGCTCTTATTATGTTTTTTTTCCGATATTATATTTTTTATTTTTTTTTTTTTTTTTTTTTTTTTTTTTTTTTTTTTTTTTTTTTTTTTTTTTTTTTTTTTAAAAGGGGGGGGGGGGGGCTGATTTTCACATCTTATCTTTGCACTTATTATTTTACTTTAGATGTTAAGCACTTAATATGTTTTTTTCCAGAAAATATAATTTTTAATATTTTTTATTTTGGCTAATTATTTTTTATTTTGGCATATTATTTTTGCTTTTGTATTTTAAACCTTTTGATTGTAAAAGGGCCTTGTAGTCCAAGTGTCAATAAAATCATGGATATTTCAATTAATATCTTGCATTGCATCTCCCATTAGACTTCAACCAAGGATAACACAAAGGCATTTCTTGACATAATGAAGAACAAATTAATAAGGAGACATAGGCAACAATTAAAAAAGAATTATCTTCCTGTGGAAGATTCAGGGAAAACCAGAGAGTATTTAGGATGGTATGGTCTTCATTAATTTGTTATAATTAAATATGAAATTATGTGTGCCATTTTAATGAATGTGGGGGGATATAAACAGTGTTGTTACTTAGATAACTGTTAGTCATTACTGCTCTAACAAGGTCCCTGAAGTGAATGGTTTCCATTTTTTTAATTAAAAATATAATCCTTCTTAGATTTAATATAATTTACACATATTTTCTGCCATTTAACTTAACAAAGCTGACTATGACTTAGTTTATACTAATACAATCATTTCAATTTATTTAAAACATCAGTAATCTGTATTTAGAAAAGTTCTACAAACTGGACTAGTTAATATGATAATAATTATTGTTTAAGTATTGCAATTCTTTGATCCTTGAAACTCATTGTTAATGGAATAATAAGTAAAATTTTATTAATTTTAAAAGTTCTTAAATATAAACGTTTGTGGCATTTATAAAATATCACAAGCCAAATTTGTTTCAGTTTTCAAGGTGTAATAATGCCAGTTATAACATTAACAGTGGTAAATTTATTATTTACAGGCGGCCAAGATATTTCCACACTGATCCTGAAGCCTGTACCTCTGCATCAACTGATTCAGGACTGGCTGTTTGCTCTGACAATGGAGAAATGCAAGATATCAAGACATGTGCTTTCTTTGTAGAAGATGAAATCAAAGCAAGACCAGGAACAAGTTCAGATTTCTTAGGTCTACCATGTAGCACAAGCAGCCCTTTATTTGGAAGTCATGATGAGGTTCATACCAAGCATATTTCTGCAATTTATTGTTAAATAAGAAAAAAATAGATTTCTTTATATACATGATAAGACGAGTTTTTAAAAACAAAAAAAACTTTTCTTTTAAAAAGTAATATATTTTTTATTTAACGAAACTTATTGTTTCCTTTCTACTTAAATTTGATCTTAAAATATTTGAGATTGTAGTGCATTTAAACTGTCAATCAGGTTTTTATAAATTATTAACTTACTAATACTATACTTTTAAACACTTTACAGGCGGTTGAACTATTGTCAAAACATGACATAGAAATGCAGCAAAAAGGAATGGCTAATAAAATTAAACAATTGCAGCAAGAAAACAGGTAATAAATTTTGGAAATATTCTTCAAACTTTTACTATCGAACAAAAGGGATTTGCTTGTAAATGAGAATTGAAATGTGACTTTTTATACCGATTTCACGAAAGAAACACTTATCATTTATAATCTTTTATGTTACACAATTTAATCTTTAAAATATTCATTGTTTTATTTTAAAAATAACATTAAAAGAGTGATTCATATCTGTGAACTCTAATTTCATATTACATTTCTGTTATTTTTGTTGCTAGAATTTTGTAAGTTAATAACTGACACATAATTGTTTTACAGAATTCTTCAAATGAAGTTGCAGGCCATCCAAAAAAAGTATGACTTAGATAAATCCAGTCTCACAGATGTGGAAGTTTATATGGATTATTCTCTAAAGGTATTTTTGTCTAATGTATACTTTAAACATTGATGTCACAGAATTACTGTCTCTAGTTATTGAAACAAAACTATTAAGTCTTCAAAAACCCCAGCAAGTAAAGCTGAAGAAAGATCTTATTAAAATGGAAGATTAACATTTTTTATAATAGTTATTATTTAAAAGATTGTTTACTTTTGCACAGATCCCAAACAATTCTTCACTGAGTCCTGTTTGTAACATGACAGCGGATGGAGACATGAAAACAGAAGATTTGGTTGTACATCATGACACACTATCCATTGTAGGGCCTATTACCCCAGTACAATCTTTATCATCTAACAATGGTGATGTAATATCTAACAATGGTGAAGCTATTTCATCCCTGGTTTCTTCGTTGAGAGAAAAACTTAAACTTGATGACAGCGGGCATGAACCTACAAATGACAACCCCCAAGAACAGACTACAAATAATCTTGGGATAGTTGTGAATGAGAAGCCTAATGTTCAAATAGGAAACAATGATAGTTGTGACACAGTTTTGTCAAACCAATTAATGTATCAGTCTTGTGACATGTCTTTGACTTTTGAAGACACAATAGGAAATTCCCTTGCAGACACTGATAGAAAGTCCATTCCAAACAATTGTACAGATAGGCCTTCTGTAATTACAAATGACAAGAATAAACCTTGTGTTCCAATGGGTAACACTGAGAGTCAGTCAGTGTTAGTTTATCAATCCTGTGACATGTCTCTGGACGTTGAAGAAACTGTTGAAAAGTTACTTAAAGAAACAACAGAAAAATCTCTGGAGGATCCATTAAAAACGTTCAACAATCCATGTGATTGTGAGGATGAGAAAAATAAAGAACCCCTTAATCAAAATAATCCAGAAGGAATAGTTCATGGCAAATTTTCATCCCAGACGGAGCACTCATTAATTTCAGAATCTCAAAACAGAAGCAAACTACCCAATAGACCAGAAGCATCGACTCGGCCATCTGCATTCGAGAAAGGTCAACCTCGACTAGTTTTCAGTTCATCTTTGCAGTCTTTTAAGTCAAATAAGTCAGATATCAAAGGAAAGAAGTCAAAGTTAGGAAATAAAGTGCTGTTAGCAGAAAACAAAACAGTTGACAGTAGGAATTGCCAGGATGAAATAATTTCTAATTCAAGAATTTTTGATAATAATAATAGTAGTATGTGCATTGAACTGAGTGAAATTTTTCCAAATAGTGACTGTGTATCTCCATCATACAGTCATCATCATCTCTTGAACTTGACACAGGTGACACCCGCCAAGACTGTTTCAAAGAAAAAACCCATGGATCCAGTTCACATGTCAACACCTGTCAATCCTAATCAACTTCACAGCTCATCACGTTCAGCCACAGTCAACAAAATGCCATTGTCAAATTATCGTAATAGGGATGAAAACAAGGAAAACTTCAGTCTAGTGACATCATCAGTGAAGAAAACTATTAAAGGCCACCCAATTACAAAGCATGGTCCAGAAATAACACCACTGTCTTCCATACCACAATGGCACAGAAAAAGAATACTTTTATCCTGCAATTCTGTTCCTTCTAACAACAGCAATGATGCTACAAAGACCCTAGACAGCACTGCAGGGTTAACCCAAATATTCCAGAAGGCTGATCGCATTGGTGAGCTCATCAATCAAGATGTTTCCGATATGGCCACTGAAGACATGGATGAGTTTGAGAAGTTGATAATGGAATTTGAAAAGGAATGCATGAATGGCCAACTATTCAGCTCAGGTAAGCTTAACTTTTAAGTTCGATTTAAATAACTGGTGAAAACTCTTTTTCTTTCTTAGATAACTATTGGGGGGTGGGGATCAACTTTATGAACGAAGTACCTTTCTAAAAGTATATATGTATTCTATATTCTATATATATATTATTATGTAATTTAATCAAATTGGGAGGTGAAAAGGCACTTTCCTGAATCCATTATTATGCAACTATTTAGTGGCAGAGGACATTTTACCTTTGACATAAACTGAAATACAAAGTAAAGCAACCATCAAGTTTAATGGAATAATAATTTGAAATATTGTTTAAATTTTACTTTGCATGGTACACTTAGCCATATAGCTTACAATTCTTGAGCTCTTAAAGCAAGAAACACTATTATTGCAACTGAGGTGACCACCATTTTAAAATATCTTCTTAAAAGAAAGCTTCTTCATTTAAATTTTAATCCACCTCACAGGTGGTTAATATAACAATAATGAAAGTTAGCTGTTCATCAAATGCACAATATTTCCTCTGACTTAAAATTATTTTTTGTCTCCAGATGTTGCAGAGAAAAAGTCTGAAGTTGACGATGATTCTGATATCTTGAAAGCTGTTAACAATTTAGGAGACGCCATGTCAGACCTTGTTCAAGCCACGGCAAAATGTTAAAAATGAGGGTCCGAAGCAATATTTTACATTTTTATTTTTTTTTTAATAACCATAATTTCTGCACATTTTATAAAAGAAATAAAACATTGGATTTTTTAAAACTCAATTTTTTTTTCTTTTTTGGTCCAACATTACTATCAAGAATCAAAAGCAATTTTACAGTTAATTTGAGGGGTATATATTTGGGTATTTAAATTTGAATTAGATGCACTGTATGTCAACCCTCACTACCTTATAAATATTCTCAGTGTTTTGCAAGATATTTCTGTCTGTTTAGCTGAGGGCAACATTGAGTTTTGACTTGATTGTATTATGTAAGTTACTAAGTAATGTGCAATACTTATTCATTTCTTTTCCCCTCATAATTATGGTTACTGGACATCATATAATCGAAAGAAATTTCATCGATGGAAATTTGGTTGAATATTTTTTCAGTTAACACGTTAAAATTTTCGTCAAATTTCTTTTTGAACACACTAATACTATATATAAAACAAAATAAAGCGTTCAAAAAGAAATTTGAATCAAAATTTTAACGTAAAAAGTGAAAAAAAGATTGATCAAATTACCGTCAACTCGATCAAATTTCCGGATACACATTAATTTTCTCCCCCCCCCCCCTTATAATGAATAGTCATCTCCCCCCCCCCCCCCCCCTCATAATTTATTGATTTATATGCATAGAAATGATGTGTATAGTAATAGAAGGAAACTACATGTTAAGTATAAGTAGGTCATTACAACACTGAAGTCATCATGTTGAATTTAGACTAAAGTTAAAAAATGTGGATTCATAAATGTGCAAGGAAGTGGACAAAAGGCAAATGCCAGAATTTAGTGATCTGTCTTTTTAAGGCTTGACTAAATGTTCAATTGATATATTAATTTTCTAGTTATGATTCGTTACTTTCATATGATAAATTATGAAAAGGTTGCAAATCAAGTGATTATTATACAAATCTATGATAACAGGTAATTTTTTTTTTTAAATTTAATTAAATTTTTTTAAACCGCACATCAACCAAACAGTCAAGAATTTGTATTATAAATATTTTTATTACAGTACATGAAGAAGAAAAAAAATTTTAGTTAATATCAACACACATTTTGATTTCACTTTCATTATTTTTACTAACTGCTTTAAAAGTAGTTTGAACTGTGGGTGCACAGATGGCAGGTGAGACCCAGAGCAAATTCATAAGTAGCACAAATAGTTGATTAAAATGGTCATGGTCGTTTTCAACTGACGAAATATATATATAGATATATAGTATTGAACTAAAACCATTCTTTACACAAACCATTGAGTTAGTGATTATAATAGTTAATGACATTTATATAAGGGTATGGTTTAATTTACCATAATTCAAAGGTTTCTGAAAAAAAATTACATTATTCCAAAAACTTAAGTCATGTCAAACTCTTGATCAATTCAACTTCTGAAGATCTGTGAAGAGAATCAATGAAGCATATTTAGTATGCACTTTATAGAGATTTTGTATTACTTAAGTAATGGTAATGTCAACTATTCACACCAAAAATCAGACTACTCACGGTTTGCATGGCCCCAGGACACAACCAACAAAAAAGATGAGGGGAAAAGCTTGGACAAAGGCTTTTCAAGATAATTATAATAGCTGCTGTGTCATAACTATTCTATGTTGCATAATTATGTTGGTTTTCAGTTCACTGACCGTAGCTTTTATCAACATACACAGTATGTAACATTCTAAATATTTCTTTGGTCTCACATCTTTTAAAAAACACTTACATAAACTGTGCCTAAGATGTATGATATTGCAAAAATGTGTCACACCTTCACCATCTTTCGACTACCCTGATACATCACAAATCTTCACAATATTTGATGTTCTACCATACCTTCTGCATCACAAATGCTGGTTCTCATATTTCTTTTGTTTACAACTATTACAAGTGCAGCAGAAATTGCTTGGAATACATTAATTTAAAAATGTGCCCAATATCAGTAAGCTTGAAAAGCATTCCAAAAATTAATATCAGATTGAATTAGTTAATACAGTAAAACTGATGGTACCGATAGTAGGTAGCGCTCTTTCATAAAGGAAAAATTTACAATCGCACAGGAATCACTCGTGATTTAGTGGTGGGAAAATAAAATAAATTTTGAATTACACTTCTAGTGATTTATTTTTCTCAAACTCTGGGTCCTATTATATTTGATTTGAAGCATTAGAGAATAAATCTGTCTCTATCAATCATCCATGAAAAATAACTAAACAGAATAAGGTGTCATATTTTGGAATGAAAGGGGTTAAGAAAAACCTGACATTTCAGACTTAATTCCCCATCATTAATTGATAAGTTACAAAAATAATTAAATCTTAATTTTGAAATGTATCATGATAGTTTCTTTATAATTACAGAACAAATAAATAAAAGATCAATATAAACTTGATTTTTATGTGCTCTTTTGCTTTCCTGATTCTATAAGTCAAGGAAAGTGTATCATACAGAAAGTAAAATATTGCCATCTTTAAGAAAATAGTGAGTAATATGTACAGTCACTTCTTGCATTTGTTGCTTTTCTTAGTTTAATGCACTTTATGCACTTATCAAACACATTCCACATACATGAATCTCGAAACTATACAAAGGTGTTTGTTTTTAAAGCATGCTCTATTCAATCATTTGAAAACTTAGAAACGGTTGAGTAAAGCAATATATCACATTTCATAATATTTTGCTTGAAATTTGAACAAAAGTTCTCTTTTTTAGTACAATACTTTGCTTTTTAAAAAACTGTACCCGGTACTCAATACCATAGTCCCATAATTATCATTAAGAATATCCTTTTGACTAGAAACATTTTTTTTTAATTTAAAAAAATCTTTGAACATAAATATTTAAGTTTAAGAATAACTAAAAAAAAAGAACATACATTAAAATGAAATATACAAATGTTTAAAATTTCAAAGGTGCTTTCAGAGAAAAATATAAATTATCATTTGAAATTGTACAAGAAAACTAACCATACAAAAATATGGAAATGCTATGGGGAAGATAAGTAAAAAAAAAAGATAAAGCAAGACAAAAGTCATGTTACTGGGCAATTTTATTTTATAGTGTTTTTTTGTTTGTTTTTTTTTAAATTGATTAATATTGAATTTTGTGGAGATCCTTATAATAAACTTTAAAAATAATAAGGGCAGGAGCACAAAAGATTGATATTGCTCTTCAAAATTGTTTTCCTTCATTGTCCTTAAAAAAAAAAAAAAGATATATTTTTGTCCCCAAAAAAAGCTGGATTCATATTTAATTACATTAAAAATGTGAAAAATTTATAATAAACTTTAAAAAAAAAAAGGGCAGGAGCAAAAAAGATTGAAATTGCTCTTCAAAATTTTTTTCCTTCATTGTCCTTAAAAAAAAAAAAAAGATATATTTTTGTCCCCAAAAAAAGCTGGATTCATATTTAATTACATTAAAAATGTGAAAAAAAAGTCACCAGTTATTTGTATACCTGTACATGTACAGGCATATTTATTTGAAGCTAATGTGCAAAATCATGATGCTCAGTTGCTGTTATAAGCAATTACATAATTACTCTCCCTCTCTTACAACTATGAACATAAACTGTGTCAGGGAGGGCCAATGCAAGAGCTGCATTAAATATTGTCTAATAAACATTAACTTTCTTCATTCAATCAGTATCAGTGATTATTTTCATTTTTGGCAAAAAATCACTTTTTTTTTTTCGATATATGCCACAAGGTCTTTCTTTTTGGCTGATTAAATAAAAATTCATATTGAAGATATAAAAAATGTATTGATTATCTGATATCTTAAATTATAATTTTAAAACTTTATTAAAATTTAGTAACTAGTAAAGCAAAGGATTTATAGAAACACAAGGAAACCTAAATGTCCACTTAGCATTTTATTTGTAGCTCTCTGGCTAAGTGATGAATGATGCAAAACAAAATTTATGTATGCTCCAAAGCGCATCCCTGCATTTTTGAAATTATCCATAAAAAGCTGGCTGGGTGAGGGAGCAGACCCTCCCCCCTCCCCAAATAAATTCTGCATTATTTAGAAGATGTCCTAGATTTCCGCTCCCCCATATGACCTTTGTCGCTCAAATGAGCAATTATGATCACCTTTTCAGGGACAATGTTCACTATATATATTATTTTAAAGAGCTATACTTCAATTTAATTCTATAAAATCTATCTATGTGTGTAGCGGCATGAGTAGATGTGTTATCTGATAAATGTGTCAGAATAAATAATTAATTGTGGCTGGACATCATTTATTTTGACATTATTTTCTAAATTAGGTTTAATAACATGCAGCCCGTGCAGAGTTGACTCACAACCAAAGTGGC